GTGACAGGATACAAAATCAATGCACGGAAATGAATTACTTTTCTATACAGTAACGATGTGTCTGAAGAAAGAGAAATTAAGGACGCGATCCCATTTACACTTATAACACAAACCATAAGATAACTAGAAAGACACCTAACCAAAGAGGTAAAGGATCTGTACTCTAGAAACTACAAAACACTTATGAAAGAAATTGAGGAAGACAAAAAGAGATGGAAAAGCATTCCATACTCATGGATTGGAAGAATAAACATGGTTAAAATGTCTATCCTGCCCAGAGCAATTTACACTTTCAGTGTCATCCCTATCAAAATGCCATCAACATTTTTCACAGATATAGAACAAACAATCCTAAAATTTATTTCAAACCAGAAAAGACCTCGAATCACCAGCAGAATGTTGATAAAGAAAACTGAAGCCGGGGCATCAAAATGCCTGAATTCAAGTTATATTACAAAGCTGTGATCATCAAGACAGCATGGTATGGGCACAAAAACAGACACATAGATAAATGGAACAGAAGAGAAAACCCAGAAATGGACCCTGAACCTTATGGTCAATTAATCTTCAACAAAGCAGGACAGAATGTCCAATGGACAAAATACAGTTTCTTCCATAAATTTTGTGTGGAAAACTGGACAGCCACATGTAGAAGAAGGAAACTTGACCATTCTATTACACCATACACAAAGATAAACTCAAAATGGATAAAAGACCTAAATGTGAGACAGGAATCCATCAAAATCCTAGGGGAGAACACAGGCAGTAACGTCTTCGACCTCGGACACAGTAAATTCTTTCAAGACACGTCTCTACAGGCATGGGAAACAAAAGCAAAAATGAACTATTGTGACTTTATCAAGATAAAAATATTCTGCACAGCAAAGGAAATAGTCCACCAAACTAAAAGGCAAGCTACAGCATGGGAGAAGATATTTGCAAATGACATAACAGATAAAGGGCTGGTATCCAAGATCTATAAAGAACTTCTCAAACTCAACACCCCAAAAAACAAATAATCCAGTCAAGAAATGGGCAGAAGACATGAAAAAACACTTCTCCAAAGAAGAAATACAAATGGCCAACAGATACATGAAAAAATGCTCCACATGACTGGCAATCAAGGAAATACAAATCAAATCCACAATGAGATAACACCTTACACTTTTAGAATGGTCAAAATTAACAAGACAAGGAACAAAAAATGTTGGAGAGGATGTGGAGAAATGGGAACTCTCCTACACTGCTAGTGGGAATGCAGGCTGGTACAGCCACTCTGGATAAGAGTATGGAGGTTCCTCAAGACATTAACAATAGAGCTACCCTATGACCAAGCAATTGCATTTCTAGGTATTTATTCCAAATATAGAGATGTAGTGAAAAGAAGTGGCATATGCACCCCAATATTCATAGCAGCAATGTCCACAATAGCCAAACTGTGGAATGAGCCGAGGTGCACTTCAACAGATGAATGGATAAAGAAGATGTGGTTTGTATATACAATGGAATATTACTCAGCCTTCAGAAAGGATGCATACCCACCATTTGCATTGACATGGATGGAACTGGAGGGTGTTATGCCATGCAAAATAAGCCAAGCAGAGAAAGACAATTATCATATGGTTTCACTCATATGTGGAAGATAAGGAATAGCACAGAGGACCATATGGGAAGGGAGGGAAACCTGAATGGGAAGAAATCAGAGAGGGAGACAAATCATGAGAGACTCTGGAATCTGGGAAGTAAATTGAGGGTTGCAGAAGGGAAGGGGTTAGGGGTATGGTGTAACTGGGTGATGGGCATTAAGGAGGGTACATGATCTGATGAGCACTGGGTGTTATACGTAACTAATGAATCATTGAACACTACATCAAAAACAATGATGTACTGTATGTTGGCTAATTGAACTTAATAAAAAACAAGAGAGAGGAAAAAAATAAGAGAAAGAATAAAACCCATATGATCCTTTCAATAGATTCAAGGAAACTATTTGACAAAATCAACATCCTTTATTGATTAAAACCCTGGACAATGTATGGAAAGAGGGACCACGCCTCAACATCATAAAGGCTATATACAAAAGACCCACAGCAAATATCATTCTAACTGGGGAAAAACTGAGAGGTTTTCTCCTAAGGTCAAGAACATGACAGAGATGTCCACTCTCTCCACTGTTTTTCCACACAGTATTGGAAGTCCTAGCCTCAGGAATCAGACAACAAAAATAAATAAAAGTCATCCAAATATGGAAAGAAGAAGTTAAATTTTCACTCTTCGCAGACCCCATGACACTCACTGTAGAAAACCTGAAGGACTCCACCAAAAAATTGTTAGAACTGAGAGAGGAATTCATCAAAGTCACAAGATATAAAGTCAGCACACCATTTCTATACACCAACTATGAAGAAGCTGAAAAAAATCAAGGAATGGATCACATTTACAATTGTACCAAAAACCATAAGATATCTAGGAATAAACATAACCAAAGAGGTAAAAGATCTGTACTCTGAAAACTATAGAACACTTATGTAAGAAATTGAGGAAGACACAAAGAAACAGGAAAACATTCCATGCTCATGAATTGGAAGTACAAATTTTGTCAAAATGTCAATGCTAATTGTGATTCACATTTGTTCTAGATGAGTCTAGTCAAAATACTGAAAAGTTGCATTTATGGAAGAAGATGGACATTTTATTCCCTGCCTGTGATCTCAGCAAGTTCCCTCAATACACCAAGCCTCAATTTCTTCATTTGTGAAACAAGAATAATCAAGTACAGCTATTTCATGGGTTAATTATAAGGGTTAAATAGAAACACGTTGGTGGAACATTTAGCACACTGCTGCCTTATAATAAGCATTTAATAAAGTTATCCATTTTAGTAAATATTGGCTACTTAAAATGGAAAAAAAAATGTCAATGCTAGGGTCGTCTGGGTGGCTCATCAGTTAAGCTGCCAACTATTGATTTCAGCTCAGGTTATGATCTCAGGGTCCTGAGATCACACTCAGTAGGGAGTCTGCTTGAGATTCTCTATTTCCCTCTCCCTCTGCCTATCTTCCCACTCTCTCTCACTCTAAAATAAATAAAGAAATCTTATTAAAAATGTCTATGCTACCCAAAGCAATCTACACATTCAATGCAATTCCTATGAAAATAACACCAGCATTTCTCACAGAAGTGGAAAACACAATCCTAAACTTTGTATGGAAACAGAAAAGACCCCAAATAGCCAAAGGAATTTTGAAAAAAAAACAAAACAAAACATCATAGTTCTGCACTTCAAGCTGTATTAAAAGCTGTAATCATCAAGACTATATGGTACTGGCATAAAAACAGACATAGATCAGTGGAACAGAATAGAGAACCCAGAAATGGACCCTAGACTCTATGATCAACTAATCTTTGACAAACAGGAAAGAATATCCAGTAGAAGAAAACATGGTCTCTTCAACAAACTGTGTTGCAAAACCTGGGCAGGAACATGCAGAAGAATGAAACTGGAACACTTTCTTACACCGTACACAAAAATAAATTAAAAATTGGCAAAAGACTTAAACCTGAGATAGAAATACATCAAAATCCTATAGGAGAACGCAGGCAGCAACCACGGCAACTTCTCACTAGACACGTCTCCAGAATCAAGGGAAACAAAAGCAAAAATGAACTATTAGGACTTCATCAAGATAAAAAGCTTTTGCACAGCAACAGAAACAGTCAACAAAACTAAAAGGTAACCTATGGAATGGGAGAAGCTATTTGCAAACATCAGATAAAGGACTAGTATCCAAAATGTATAAAGAACATATCAAAATCAACACCACAAAAAATAAAAAAATCCAGTCAAGAAATGGGCAGAAGTCATGAATCGACAGTTCTCCAAAGAAGACATATAAACGATTAAGAGACACATGAACAAATGCTCAACATCACACATCATCAGGGAAATGCAAACCAAAGCTACAATGAGATACCACTTCACACTTGTCAGAATAGCTAAAGTAACAACTTAGGAAACAACAGATGTTGGCAATGATGCAGAAAAAGGTAAACCCTCCTGCACTGTTGGTGGGAATGCAAACTGGTTGCAGCCACTCTGGAAAATGTATGGAGGTTCCTCAAAAAGTTAAAAATAGAACTACCCTGAGACCCAGCAATTGCACTACTAGCTATTCATCCAGAGGGTACATAAATAGTGATTCAAAGGGGCACATGCACCCCAATGTTTATAGTAGCAATGTCTACAATAGCCAAAAACATTGAAAGAGCTCACATGTCCTTCAACAGATGAATGGATACAGATGTGGTGTATATAGATGCACACAATTGAATATTACTCAGCCATCAAAAAGAATGAAATCTTGCAATTTTGAATGACCTGGATAGAACTAATGCTACGTAAAATAAGTCAGTTAGAGAAAGACACATACCATATCATTTCACTCATATGTGGAATTTAAGATACAAAACAGATGAACATAGGGTGAAGGGAAGGAAAAAAAATAAGATAAAAACAGAGAGGCAAACCATAAGAGACTCTTAACTATAGGAAACTAACTGAGGGTTGCTGGAGGGGACGTGGCTGGGAGCAGGGGTATCTAGTGAGGAGCATTAAGGAGAGCAGTTTATTTAATGAGCACTGAGTGTTATATACAACTGATGAATCACTAAATACTACCCCTGAAATAATACACTATATGTTATGTAAATTGTATTTAAATAAAATTTAAGGGGCGCCTGGGTGGCTCAGTCAATGAAGCCTCTCCCTTTGGCTCAGGTCAGGATCCCAGAGTCCTGGGGTCAAGCCTGGCATCAGGGTCCCTGCTCAGTGGGGAGCCTGCTTCTCCCTCTCCTCCCTGCTCGTGCTTTCTCTCACTATCTCTGTTGCTATCTTTGTCTCTCTCTCAAATAAATAAAATCTTTAACAAAATCTAAAAAAAAAAAGGATTCTCTGTCTCCCTCTCCACCTGCCACTCCCCCCCTAAAAAAAGCCATTAAAAAAGAGGATATTTTTCCCTTTGTAAGAACTTGTGGCCCACGGATATCCATTCCTTCTGTATCAGATCTTCATTTTTATACAAAAAGAAAAGTTTGCATTAGGAAAAACATAAAATGAATTACCCATTCCTATAAAAATATCAAAATACTTTGCTGAAATGGACTTTGTACAAGTTTGGGTTGAACTAATCATAAATAAAGTTTATTTCCCAAATGAATCTAAGTAAGTGACATGGATTTCATGTAAAGGTACATTCAAATATCAAATGTTCTCAGTAGAAACTATTCTAGATTTTTATCCAGTGTCACATTTCTTTTGGCTTTTACATGATGTGTGTCAAGCCATTTGAGCCATAATTAAATGAAATCCTGACCAACAGTTATAAAATTCAACCCATGGGGAAAAAAAAACAAAAACCAAAAACAAACAAACAAAAAAACAGGAATCCAAAACAGTATTTGGGTTTGAGTCAAGATTTGTTTTTGGTAAAAACCCATTTTCAAACATAAAAAGAAATAATTAAGAAAAAAAAGAATAAACTCCTACTGTGAGTTCTGTTTCTTAGAAAAATCAATTAAGAAGCCTTGGTCTAAATTCAGCACCAGAAAATAGTCATGAGTCTGACATCAAACAGCTGACATGTTGAAGATCATGAGCCCATGAGCCTATCACACCTATTCACCTCTTCACTTTTGCAAACTTTTTTTTGAACTTTTCCTACCCTTTATAGCACCCTATTACATGCAACCTACCTTCTGATAGGTATGAAACTGTGTTGAATGTGAAATGAAAAATATATAGACTGTAAATGCCTATTTAGTGGAATGAAGCTAAATTGAAAAACACTACATCAAAAACAAATGATGTATTGTATGGTGACTAACATAACAAAATAAAAATATTTAAAAAAAAATAAATAAATTGAAAAACAGCAATTTTTGTAGCTTTGAAGCTTCTGCTTGTAGAAAACAAATTGGTTGAGAGTTCTTTTTGAATTATTCACAATCTGTCACTAATGCGAAATAAAATACAATTGCTTGCTCTATTACCATGAGTCCTTTGAATGTTCTGCAAAATGGATCTAGGAGGATGCTGGTCACAGACCAGACTTGTGGTGTGTGGTCCCACCCAAGAGAACAATGGACTAAGACTTTGGCCTTTTCTATCTTCACTGCCTGTGAATATAAGAGGCAAAAGTAGCACAAACAACTTTTGCATAGCATTCTGGACTAATAAATAGGGTTGCCAAATACCATTCCACAGCACAGAGAACCTGGTCTTACTGGGCTACATTAATTACTTCTCATACTACTGGTATCCTCTATAGGGAATGAAAAAGGAAATATGGTAGTGCAACAGAAGGAGAGTTAACCTAACAGGGAAAGAAAATCAAAGCCAACACATGATGCAGGGTAAACAAGAAAGACAGAGTTATAAATTCACAAAACTTCTAAGGAAGGATCAATTCCCAGATGAGTAGGCAAGAAGGAGAATCATGCTCAAAAACATAGATAAGACAGTTATGTATTCCAGTTCTAGATCTGACAATGATTTCCTATGGAGTCTTTACTAACATAAATTCTTCTAATTTAAGATTGAGAGTTTTGCCTGTTTTAAATCAGAATGATGTAAAAGATATGGACAGTTACTCAACTTGGACTATTTTAGCAGTGATAGGCATTGATTATTTATGTATTGATTCTAATACTTAATTATATATTTCTCTATGCCAGGTACGTGCTGGCTATTAGAGACACAAAAATAAGACTCAGTTTCTGATTTCAAGGACTTCACATACAAGTCAGGGTAGCCAAAAGTAAATTAATAAATACAAATACAAAATAGAAAAATGCTGCTACAGAGTAATGTGTAATAGCCATATCCTTTTGTAGGAGCCAGCAAACTTGAGCTTTAAAAAAGAGTAGGATTTTGTTCGGGTAAGGAAGAAGGAAATTAATTTATTCACTCATTCATCTAACTACATAGCCAACAAATACTATACAAAAAACACTAAAGTGTACACTGGGGACACAAAAGAGAGAAACACTTAAATGAATGACTATAAACCAATGATAATGAAACAATAAAAGTACATACCAGGTACAATAAAACTGTAAAATAATCAAAGAAGAGGAGACAACTAAAGTTTAAGTTCTTCTTTAATTTCCTGATTGACATTCTTTAGCAGGATGCTCTTTAACTTCCAAGTGTTTGAATTCCTTCAAAACTTTTTCTTGTGATTCGGTTCCAGTTTCAAGGCATTGGGGTCTGATTACATGCAGGGAATAAACTCAGTCTTTTGGTATTGGCTGAGACCTGATCTGTGACTAAGTATGGGGTCTATTCTGGAGAAAGCTCCTTGTCCAGCCAAGAGGAATGAGTATTTTGTTGTTTTAGGGTGAAATGTTCTGTATATATCTACAAAGTCCATCTGGTCCAATGTGTAATTCAAAGCTCTAGTTTCTTTTTGATCTTCTGCTTGATGAAACATCCAATGCTGAGAGTGGAGTGTTAAAATTTCCTACTGTTAATGTATTATTGTCAATCTGATTCTTTATTTTGGTTAGCAGCTTGCTTATGTAGTTGGCTGCTTCCATGTTGGGAGCATAGGTATTTACAGTTGTTAGATATTCTTGTTGGATAGACCCTTTAAGTATGATACAGTGTCCCTCTGCATCCTTTAATACAGTCTGCTTTAAATTCTAATTTGTCTGATATATGAATTGCTACCCACTTTCTTTTGAGGTCTGTTGCCATGAAAAATGGTTTTCTATGCCCTGACTTTCAGTCTGGAGGTGTCTTTAGGTTCAAAATGAGTCTCTTGTAGACAGCATATGGATGGGTCCTGTCTTTATATCCAATCTGCAATCCTGTGCCATTTCATGGGAGCATTTAGGCTGCTCACATTGAGAGTAACTACTGAAAGATATGTATTTATTATCATCCTATTGTCTGTACAGTCCTTCCTTCTATGGATTGTCTCTGTAAATTTCTGGTCTATATTACTCGTGGGGTCTTTCTTCTTTTATAAAATTTCCCTTAGTATTTCTTGAAGGGCTGTCTTGGTGATTACATATTCTTTCAGTTTCTGCCAGTCCTGGAAGCTCTTTAATCTCTCCATCCATTCTGAATGATAGCCTTCCTGGATAAAGTATTCTTGGATGCATGTTTCTTCTCATTTAATGCCCTGAGTGTCTTGCCAGCCCTTTCTGGCTTGCCAAGTCTCTGTGGACAGGTCTGACATTATTCTGATGTTCCTCCCTCTGTATGTAAGAAATCTCTCCCCCCCTGCTCCTCTCAAGATGGTTCTTGAGATTTGCGAGTTTTCCTTGGTTCTAGGATTTGCGAGTTTTACTATTATATGGCAGGGCATTGGTCTCTTCTCCTTGATCTTGGGAGGGGTCCTCTTTACCTCTTGGACACGAATTTTACTATTATATGGCAGGGTATTGGTCTCTTCTCCTTGATCTTGGGAGGGGTCCTCTTTACCTCTTGGACACGAATGCTTGTTTTCGTCCCCAGGTTAGGGAAGTTCTCAGCTACAATTTGCTCAAATATGCCTTCAAGACCTCTGTGTCTCTCTCTCCACCCCCTCAGGGATCCCAGTAATTCTGACATTGGAACGTTTCATGGCATCATTAATCTAAGTCTGTTCTCATGGATTTTGAGCTGTTTGTTCCAGCCCTCTTCCTCTTTCTTCCTATCAGCTTATCTTCCAAATCACTAATTTGTTCTTCTGCCTTATTTACCCTAGCTGTTAGAGTATTCAGTTTAGACTGCATCTCATTCATAGCATTTTTAAGTTAAGCCTGATTAGCTCTCATTTCTGCCCTTAGAGATTCTATATTGCTGCTAATGGTTTTCTCAAGCCTAGCTATTGACTTCATAACTGGCACCCTGAAGTCTATCTCTGACATCTTGCTTATATCTATATCCATTAGGTCTGCAGGAGAGGCCACTGTCTTTGGTTCTTTTCTTTGTTGGGAGTTCCTCCTCCTTTTCATTCTGTTGAGAGGTGGCTGAGGGACTGTACAGATTCCAAAATATCAACCATGATCCTGGCAAGATGCACCCTGGGACAATCTGGAGCCGCCAGAAGTCACCATTGAAAAATCAAAGGCAAAATGAAACCCAAGAATAAAATTTATGAAGTTAAAAAATTGAAAAGAATTTGAAAATTAAAAAGAAAGTGGGGTGAGTGGAGGGGAGGCTATAATCTCTCAGTGTTGGCCAGGTAGAGTGTTTCAGTTCTTCCTAGGTGTATTTTGATCTGTTTGTTAGAGGATACTACTTCCCAGAGCTATAGGGAAAATAAAACGGGGATATATATAATGGTAATATTGAATAGGGCAAAAAGGACTACATTGAAGCTTCTATCTATATAAAAATATAGGTGTGAAAAAGTGCAAGTTAAAAAGCTACTATGGAATATGTTATGTTAAACATCTAGTTGAAATTAGAAAAAAGGTTAAAAGAAAAAACAGAGAAGAAATCTAAGAGAAAGAATAAAACAAAAAAAAGAAAGAAAAAAGAGTTGTATCTGAAAAATACACAAGCTGTGAGGCAATGCCTGGAGGTCAATATACTATTTTCCCCTGGTGTTGGGGTTTTACAGTTTTATGGGGACCCTAGTGTTCTCATCCTCTTGTTCTTCCAGCTTGTCTTCTGGGGGTGGTACCTGCCGTGTTGTTTCTCATTCAACGTTGCTTAGGTGGAGTTGCTCTGCCCCCTGTGAAGGGGCTCAGCTCTGTGGAAACTGGTTTTTTGAGATTTTGTTCTCTGGCCGCTTTCTGAGCCTTTTCTGAGTGTCAGAGCGAAAAAGATGTCCACACCTAGACCTCTGTCCCAGAGTAGAGAAATCACAGTCTGCTCTTCTCTGAACCCTTCAGAACATACAGTCTCCATTTCTGTAAGTGTCACTGAAAACCGCAGCCTCCTGTGATTGGTGTATGCCTCTAGTGACCTTTTCAGGGGTTGACCAGGAGAACTGCTTGTCTCTGCCCTTTGTGCTTCTAAAACCGCCAGGGGTCCCAGGTTCACACGTACACCCCCACAGCTCCTGGATCCCGTTTGAACGCTGTTATAAAGCACTTCCAGGCCCACCAATACCACTCTGCAAATTATCACCCAGTCACCCAGCGCAGGACACTTCTGCACTCTGGTGTTGTATCACTTTCCAGAGGCCATCTTATGGAAGCTCCTTCCCCGTTCTGCTTATCTTCAGATATCTGCCCACAGATTCACGACTCCTCCCTTCTTACCTCAGGATAGGTGGTGTTTTTCTGGTTGTAGAGATACAGATATATATTCTTACATCTCAGGGTGATGATGTGGGTGTTCAGAATGGTTTGGTAGATATCCAGGTAAATTCAAGGGACCATGTGAAATGGAGTCCCCTACTCCTCCACCATCCTGCCCCCTCCTCAGTGAGGAACTCTTAAGTAGCTAGGTAATGGTTGGAATGAGGGAGTGAGGAGAGACAGCCTGACCAGGAAGAAAAGGGTCAGACTGATAAGTGTGCATTTTATCTGGTGGCAACAGGTAGCCATTAAAGTGTTCAAAGCACAAGACTGCTGTGGATCATATATGCTCACTGTGGTGGCTCTAAGAATGGATTGAGAGGATATGAGTTTGGAAATAGGAAGATTACTTAGAGAGCTACTAAAATTGCAAAAGGCAATGAGGGCCTGCACTAAGGTAGGGGCAGTGGAGCTAAAAAGGAGGAGGGATGTTAAGAATGAAAATTTAACAGGACATAGTGAGAAAATGAATATGGTATGAAGGAGAAGGAATAGACAAGGATGACACTGAAATGTGTGGCTTAGAAACTAGGTAGATGACTGGACCATTTGTCTGAATAGTGAACACAGAAAAAGAAATAAGTTTTAGTTGGTGTTAGGAGTAGTTAAGATTTCAGTTTTTGTTACTGTGAGACTGAGATAGTTGAGGGATACCCAATGGAGGGTCCAGGAAATGATTACGTATGTGGGTCTGAAGTTCAGAGAGGGAAGAAACTAGGCCACCATGAAGATTTGATTACTATATGAATAGAGGTGGTAGTAGAAACTGTGTGCACAGCTGGTGCTGTCCTGGCAGAGACCAAAGTGAGAAAGGAAAAATCTGAAAAAGCAGTGACTTGTAAAGGCAAAGTAGAGGAAGGGGGGCTATTACAAGA